TTTACCCAGCACACTGGTCCCCACACCCCCACATAACAGCCCCGTCTGCCCTGGCCATATGGAAACCCAGTGCAAATAGGACTTCCTGGCAGACCCCTCCTTCCTCGGGACAAAGAGCATCTACTTTTCTGAGTTCCTACAGTCTCCACCATTGGCACAGCTCACAGGCCCATTCTTTATTGCTTGCTTTTTTAAATTTAATTTTCAAGTCGAGTCTCCCTCAGGGCTGTGAGTTTCCTTGAGGACAAGGACACTATCTTGCTTATTTCTGTGTCTCTTGGACTTCACAGGAACTTAATAAATATTTATTGACCATCTTATAGTATATTTTGGCCCATTTCATAACAGGAACGAGTCGTGTTTATTTGCGTTGCTCAGTGGCCAGCTTGCTGTGGGGGCTGGTTTGGTTTTTAAAATCATGGTCCCTGGTGAGAAAGGAAGTAGACTGGTTGGGGGTGTGGAGGGGGTGATGCTCATTTTTTACCCTAAATACTTCTGTATCCTTTGAACTGTTTACAATAAGCATATTACTTTTGTAAAAAAACGATTTATTTAGATGATGCTGTTCATATGAATATTGTCTCGTGGAGGGGACGAGATGACTGTTTTGGGTAAGATTTTCCCATACTTTTCTCCAGTGCCCCAGACTCAAATCCTTTCAAAGGGGCATCTCTCCATTTTATAAATGTGTCTAACTCTACAAGTTATAAGGGACAGCACAGAGATTAGGAATTTTACATGGGCTGTAATTGGGGATCATTTTTAACTGCCTGGAGTCATTTGCAATATTATTTCAGCTGTGAGTGGATTATAATTAGTTATAAGAATCCCTTCATCACACCGACATGTCCATGAAAAGTTATTTGCCATAATCTGTCTTCTCGTTTTTCTCCAGGAAAGGGAGCCAGCAAACTTTGTTTATCTTGCTTCCCAAAGGAGAGAAGGACCACGTCCCTCCACCCCGAAAGAAAACTCTTTTATTTGAAATGTCTTTTCCATTTACCCTACTCTGAATAATGAAGTTTTTAAACCCTCTTGTTTTTCTAAATAGTAAAATTTCAAAGGAAGGATATTTTTGAGTTCAAAGTGTCTATTTCAAGTCTGAAATGGTTCTCTTGGTCTGGCATCACCAGCAAGAATTTCTAAAACAGCACCCTGTGGGTCAGTTCAGTAGCTAAAAAGATGATTCCAAGCCAACATCGTTGGTGCACAATGCTGAGACGAATCTCCGCACAAAATCTTTGCTTTTCATTGTGTTCTGGGCCCTGGAGAGGCCGTTTGGACCATGCCCCTGTCTCCAGGCAGGCTGGTAGGTGGACCTGTGTGCGGTGGAATTTGTTGGGCGGGCAGCCCAGAGTCACAGAGCACCTCCCTCGAGACTTCTCAGCTCCATCAGCTCTGACTTGGGTCTGCCGGACGGGTTGACCAGAAGGCCGGAGCTGCCTGGCGCAGGAGGCTGCGTAGCCTTCTCATGTCCCTGTCCACCCCCACGTGCAGCAGGCCCCCTCACACCAAACTGGCCCCGGCACCTGGGATTCTTGGACCCATGGCCCAGATTTACCCTGGACCTTCTGCTGTTGCTCTGGCTCTGAGCTTCTCCAAAACCTCAGACTTGAAGGCTCAGAACTTCTGAAATCCAGAGCAAGCCAGTTCCCGTCGTCTGTTCTTACAGGTCCTCACTTCCGATTCCTCAGTCATTCTAAGTCTGTCTTGGTGTCGCTCACACCATCCTGGTGCAGAGTGTGATCCTGGTCTGGTTGTCAGTTTCCAGTAATGTCAGTGTTTCTCAGGGGGGTGCTCTTGGCATTTGGGGTGGGCAATTCTCTGTCCTGTATACTGCAGGTCATTGAGCAGTCCTGGTCCAGCCCACCAAATTCCAGCAGTCTAGTCATTGTGACAACCAAGAATGCGTTCTCAGCCTGGAGTAGGGGTGGGTGCAGTACAACCATCAAGCTGGTGGGGGGGCAGTACCACCTTCATCCTGTGGGGAAGGCACAGTACCACTCTCAGCCTGTGGGAGGGCAGTACCACCCTCAGCCTGTGGAGGGCAGTACGATCTTCAACCTGTGGGGGACAGTACCATCCCCAGCTGAGGACCCCAAGCTTCTAAGCTGTAAGCTCTGGAGGGCAGCGTTTCTCCTCTCCTATGGTGAATCGCCAGCACCCAGCACAGTTAGTGCCAGACTCGTGGTAGGACATCAGTAAATATTTGTCAAATGAAGGAATGAGATCCATGAACAAGCTTCAGGAGGGCCTGTGAACCCTACAAAATTGTGTGCAAAATGTGTGTGTAGGTTGTGTGCATTGCACACATGTGTTTTCGGGGGCCAGAGTTTATAGCATCCATCAGATTCTCCAAGGGAAATTGTGACTTAAAGGGACATTTGGAAGACTGGAAACATCCCTGCAAACATCACGGCACAGAGTTTGTGAGGTGAATAGTGGAACTGCAGCTCTGTACAATATTCTAATCTCCTGCAGAAAGGAATGTCATGAAAATTCCAGAGGAGACTCTGCTTGCGTGAGAGTTCGTACAAGTCCTTGTAATACAAGGGCTGCGTTCTGCTCTTTGACAAAAAATGGCCTTACTCCTGGGCTCTGTGACTTACCAACAGGAAAGTTTGGTGGGAATAGGGCAGGAATGAGATGTTTTCCTCCCAAACTAAGGAGTGTTTCCTGGGTGGCTTTCCTATTAAAAGCCAAAGAAATTGGTGACATCACTCAGCTTCCCTGAGCCAGAGCAGCAGCTCTGCAGAGGCTAGCTGAACTGAGCAAGGGAGCAATCATCACTTGCTTCCTTCCTGAGAGTCCTCTGTTGATGCAGTTGTTTTAATAAGACACAACCAAGGCCCCAAGGCAGGAAGAACAGCTGGGCCAAGCTGGTGGCTGAGCAGAAGGCCTGAGTCCCAGATGCATCTGCAGAAGGTTCGTGCTCAGCAAGTGGCCCTGTGGAATGACAGCTTGGCCGCACTGTAGTGGCTTTGAGTGAGGTCTCAGGTGGACGGGCATGGAGGGTGTTAACGTAATTGTGGCTCATCCCTGCTGCTTTCCCGGCATCCATATGCCCATCCTGGGAGCTACAGAATTCCAGAAAGGGCATTTGGGCCAGGGGAGGAGAGAAAACTGAGGACTGGAAGCACTCCAGCTTGGAGTTAACCTCTAGCGCAGTGAGGCACTTGCCAAGAAGTCTATGACATCATTTGTCCCAGAGGGATCATTCTTTTTGCAGAAGCTTCCAGCATATACACTAGATCAGTCATGAGCCCAGATAACTCCCTCGGGGGCGGGAAATGGAAACTCCGAGGACCCCCTGATAGTCTGGAGCAGGCTTCTCAAACTTGACTGTGCCTAAAAAATCACCTGGAGAGCTTGTTAAATCAGATTCTCGGGGCCCCAACTCCAGAGAGTCTACTCAGCAGGGACCTGATACTTTGCATTTCTAACAAGCTTCCAAGTGCTGCTGATGCTGCTGGTCTGGGGACCACACTTGGAGGACCGCTGGTTCCCAGCAGGCGTTTTCACACTGTGCTCCATTGCGCCCCCTTGTGGGGAGAAGAAGGGATGAGAAAAGCAAGTGAATGGGACCAGTGCCTCCCACCCCCACCTACATCCAAGACGCCTCCCAGTCTGTTTTACAGATCTGGTTTCTGTGATTAAACGAAGAACCCCTGATATAAAGGAGGGGGGAGACCACTGGCCTGGAAGACGTGGGTTCAGGCCTGCATGAGGGGTACTTCCAAGAATTGAGCTTTCCACCCCTCGTTCCAAGGCGCCTGTGTCACGGGGCAGCCTCTGCCAACAACCCGAGAACATTCGAAGCAATCAAAACCCCAAATAGCCGGCTAAGCGAGCAGAGGCAAGGGCGGGCACCACCTCCCGTGCATGCGTGATCTCAGGCCTGCAGAGCCCATGCCCTCGGGCACCTGCGGCCACAGTTGTACCCGGCAGTCTGCGGCTGGAGGGGTTTCCCTGTCTGCCTGCAGGCTCACTGCTCAGCTTGCACAGGCGCAGGAGAGTTTGCCCAGCACTGTCTGGATGCGCCCCACATCTGCCCTGTCCCCGGGCCCATCAGGACCCTCAGCCCAGCCACTTCATCCTCCAAAACCAACCTCAGGATGAGCTTATGCCCTCCTGTAGCTTGGACCCTACAGTAGTGGTCTGCGGTAGAGCAAAGTTGGGGTTTGACTCTTGGTTTCACCACCTCCCAGCTGAGAGATCTTGGGTGAGTCAGCCTCTCTAAGCCTCAGTTTCCTCATCTGTGAAATGGAAATAATTGTATATCGATGTGGGCATTAAACACAGCTGTCCATGTAAAGCTCCTTGCCCGGTGCCTGGCGTGGTGTGAGCCCTCAGGAAACGTTGCCCATTTGTTCCTAACTCTTCTCTCTTGACGTTATTTTAGTGGTTTTGATGAAGCAGGAGTGTGCCACCTGTGTTAGTTTCCTAAGGCCGCTGTAAGAAATGAGCACAAACTGGGTGGCTTAAAACAACAGAAATTAATTCTCTAACAGTTCTGGAGATAAGTCCAAAATCAAGGTGTTGGCAGGGCCGTGTTCCTCAGAAGGCTTTAGGGAAAATTTTTTCCATGCCTTTCTCTTAGCTTCTGATGGCTGCCAACAATCCTTGGCCTTCCTTATCTTGTAGACGCATCACTCAAGTCTCTGCCTCTGTTGTCACACGGCGTTCTTTCTGTCTGTCTCTGTTGTCTTCTTATAAGGACACCAGTCATATTGGATTAGGGCCACCCTAACTGAGTATGACTTCATCTTAATTTGATTACATCTGCAGAGATCCTATTTTAAAATAAGGTCACATTCACAGGTACCAGGGTTAGGACTTGAACATATCTTTTTAGGGGACACAATTCACCCCACAGCAGTGCCCGACTGGAGTGAGGCCACAGGCCCCAGCAGCCATAAGGACTCGGGGGATCTTCACCATGAAGCTATGGGGGCCTCCCCAGACTTGGACTCAGTTGTCCCAATGGTTGTGTTTTCCAGGGTGTTCAGACTTACACCTCTTGGACATGTTGACCCCAACTGAAAGAAAGCGACAAGGATACATTCATGAACTCATTGTCACGGAGGAGAACTATGTGAATGACCTGCAGCTGGTCACAGAGGTAACGGCTGCTGTGGGTGCTGGTGGGCGGTGGGGGGCACCGGCAGAGAGGGGGGAGAGGAGAGGCCTCTGCTCAGGAGGCCTGTGCCCTGATCTGAGCCTGAGAAACTCTCTGATGTGTGGGGAGCATCCGGGCGATAAATCACATAGGAGATTCTTACCCGGGAGAACGTGGTTAAATTCTCGTCTGTGGCCAACTCGGAGTGCTACCCACAGAGGGTCAGAGATCACTCCTGCAAGGGACAATGAGCCGTGAGGAGCTGCATGGAAGGGGACACACGGACTGGAGCTGGGTGTCTAGGCTCTACTCAGAGAAGTTGCAGCTCAGCCACCGACTAGTTGATGCCCATACAGCAAGTCACCTCGTCTCCCTGGCCCTCAAGGTTGGCATCTGAAAATGGCAGCCCTCTGGCCAATGTCTTGCGATATTGCTAGTGCTCCCTATTGCTGGGAAGGAAGATGTTTCCTCCCAGGTCCCCACGCAGCCCTTGATCCTGGATGATGCCTCGTTTTGTCTCTCCCCCTAGATGGCCATTGAAGGGCCTTGGCCACCCTGTCCAGAAGGATGGAGAGATGCAGTGTTGGGAACCCCTGCTTTTCCAGAAGCTTTTTATCCATACACCTGGGAAGTTGCCATGTTAGGAAACAGGGGTTCGCAGAACTGGGTGTCAGGGTCACTTGACAATTTGAAAAGTACCGTGATATTTAGAAATCCTTCCCCAACCTCTCCCATCCCATCACCACCTAATGGTGGTAAAACCATCTCCTCTGATCGTCTTAACAACCAGGAAAGACGTGAGTCGGCGACCCAGTGTTGAATGGGGACAGGATGGAGAATAGTTTGCTGGCCCACAAGGCCACTGTGAACACACAGGAAGGGTTGGTACAAATTCAAAAAAGGTGCCCCTGTCTCAAGACACTTGACTGTCACTAAATATTCAGTCTAGGATGTCTAGGCTTGTCACCCCCTTGGATATGGCACTTTTGTGCAGTGGCCTGGTATATGCCCGGTTCAGCATCAGCTTAAGGACTCATGAAGTATAGGGCTCCTGGGAAACAGCCTCAGCCCAGCCAAGTTTGTTTCACAGATAGGCTGTCCCCATCCCTGAAGAACCTTCAGAAGTGTGCCCTGCCTCCAATGGTAGATAGCAGCCTCTTTGTAGGGGCTCACCACACGGGGTTCAGCAGAGATCTGTGATTTACTGTGTTGCCCAACCACACGGAGCTTGGGCAGGCGCCTGTCTTTCCCGGAGCCCAGGAGAGGAAAAACAATGCAGACCCGATGGGGACCCCCTTTCAACCCCCTGGACAGAGAGGGGCCATCTGCTTCAGAAACTCTGCAGGAAGGTGGGGCGCTCAGCTTCTGGGCTCCCAGCAAAGCTGCAGACACCCTGATCCTTTCCGTCACTCTGAACAGATCTGTGTGTGCGTGTGTTTGAGTTTTAAGCTAACAGTTTGCTTTCTGAACTGCTTCGTTTTCTGCACCTGTAGATCTTTCAGAAACCCCTGATGGAGTCTGAGCTGCTGACAGAAAAAGAGGGTGCTATGATTTTTGTTAACTGGAAGGAGCTGATTATGTGTAATATCAAACTACTGAAGTAAGCAAGCCTCTCTTCTCTAATGCCCGGCCTCGCTTCCCCCCCGGCTCTCACACACTAATGCTTCTGTGTGGGTTCGTCTGTGTGTGCCCTCCACGCATGCCGCCTCTATTTCTTTCTGCCTTTTCTGCTCATTTCCACTCACAAGCACCATCGCTCTTTTTCGCCTTGATGATTTCCGAAACACATCCCCGATTTTTCATGGTGGAGAGTAAATTGCCAAGCCATCCCAGTTCCTGCTTTTACTGTGGTTCTAGAATTTCCAGAGCTAGGCCAATTCTGGCTCTTGATCCCTGGGCAGCTGGGGCAGCCCCTCACGTGCCTTTTCTCAGACTTGCGTTCCAACGGGCAAATATTGGCCTCTTGAGACGTTCTTGGCTCCCGTAGATGGAAAACGGTGGAACTCTTCACTGCCCGTGATCCGCAGCAGTTCCTCAGGATAACTCGCTGAGAAGCTGGCCTGGAGCTGTGGATATTTTATTTCTATTTTAGTTCTCAGAGGCAGCTGCGGGGCCACAGAGAAAACACTGGGCCAGGAGACATGAAACCTGGTTTGGAGCCCAACTCACTGCCCTTCCCCTTTGAGCCTCAGTTTCCCCACCTGTAAAATGAAGGGATTAGATTATATCATCACAAAGGTCCCTTCCAGTTCTAAAAAAAATCCAAATCTGTGTCCACCAGGCCCTCATCATAACATCACTTGCTAGAACACAGATCAAGTCCATGGCGATACAGCCAGCTAGGAGCAAGGACCACCTTCTCCCCGGGCCCGAGGGTGACGCGTGGCCCCCGGAAACTTGTGTCCATTTCTAATCTCTCCATTCACATAATTGGGAAGCGGCTGTTTCCTACACGTGGTCCCTGTGTTGTTCTTATAAAGTAACTTCGGTCTCCACTTCCTTGAGTGTGTGTTGGGAGTGGATGCGGGATGGAGAGAAGACGTGCAGAGAGGTAGATGTCAAAAAATATATAATGTCTCCTCTCTCTGTGTTCTAGAAGACAAATAATCAAAGATGACCCCAGGGAGGTTTTAGAGAAAGTGTCTCCATTATCCTCCTCGAGGATGCAGTAGAAGTTTCTGAGCGCAGGTCTGGCGTCAGACTCTTGGGCTCACACTGTGCTATTGCCTACTGGCTGTGTATCTTTGAGAAAGTCACTTACGTTCCCTGGGCCTCAGTGTCCTGATCTGTAAAATGGGGATGATAATTCTACCTACCATGTAGGGTTCTTTTTAGGGAGCCTTTGGACGATGAGCACCTGGTCGGTAGTAAGTGCTGGGCTTGGGCCCCTGGGGACCCTGGTGGTAGGGGCTGAGCATCCACCCTTGCCTTGGAGAGAGGCTGCTCTGTCTCCTGGGGGCATGGGGGTTAGTTAACACCTGAACCCACCAGTACTAAGCCTCAAGTGTTGGAGACAAGTTGTTTTAAAGTAAACACAGAAGTTTTCTGTTGAAAATATACCTATAAGTTAAAACCCCTTTCCTTGGGCAGCCATCAGTGGGAGGTTGGGAGGTGGGAGCTGTGTCTGATGTTCCCAAGTGCCCCCGCCCCCCATCAGGGTTGGCCCGACGGAAACTGTGCTGCTGGCATTGGCTCCCCATGCCTTTCTGTTGTCTTCCCACTTTTCACCCTCCCTCCTCTCTCCCCGGGAAGAAGAAGCCCCTTTCCTGAGCTCTGTCAGGGCCAGGCTCGCCTGCTCCTTCCTCCTGTTAGCGCTGATGTGCTCCACTGCCCTGGAGGTGGGAACTGAGAGCAGTTACGCTGGCAAACAAGGCTCAGAGAGATTGAGTGACTTGCTTGAAGTCACACAGAAGGCGAATGGGGGCCCTGGCTGCTCTGTGGATGATGCCCAGGATCCCAGTGAGGGTTCCACCCCATCCTGCCCCTGATGGAAACAACGTGGAACCAGGAAGCAGACATCTCAAGGTTTTATCCGAGCCCCAGTGCCTTCTAACTTGTTCTGGGCAGATTCTTTGGCCAGATGACTCTCCAAGCCTTTGTTTTAGAACCTGTAAAACTGCAGTGAGGTACCTGCCCTGTCTGACAGGTAGGGTCATTCAGAGGAGCAAGGAGATTGGGTGTACAACTGGCACGCTCTCCATCATGACACAGACGTGCACGGGTACCGCCCCTCCCCCATCACAGTGTCCCTGTGCTCTGTCCCCTCTCCTGATGACCTGACTAGTTAGTTTGGGCAAAGTGGCTGATGTTTTCATCTTCCAGATAAAATATGTAACAGGAGCCTCCTGGGGACTTGATTTCTTTTTTATTTTTTCCTTTTCAACAGCTTATTATGAAAAATGTCACACGTACAGAAAAACTGAAAGGATTGTAGGGAGCACCTGTATTGTAGACTGTACAATGGATGTTTTGCCGTATTCGCTTTGCTGCATAGACTTAATGTCTTCATGCAGAGGAATAACCCCAACGCTGGGCAGACTTGAGGGCTCCTGGCAGGAGGAAGAGGGAGGCATTGGGGGTGAAGAGGATTGAAGGCAGCACTCCGTGGAAAGCCACCATGAGCGGCCACGTATCTGCCACTCGTGATCCAAGGGCCAGTGACTCCTTGTACTTCGGTGGATGGAGAGGTCATAGGATTTATCAAACAGATGAAAAAGAAATAAATAAAATGAAAATAAAAGAGGCCTGCCTGGGACACATGGACTTCCTACTAATGAGGCCTCTGGTGGGGGTGAGAGTGAATGGTTGGCTCTCTTACTGGTGAGCGGAGAGCCAAGAAATTTGCCTTCAATAAGCAGAGGAGGGCAGAAAGATCTAGAACCTTTTACTATTAAGAGCCAGGTGCAAGCCCCTGGGGGCAGCTGTCAGAAGTGGTAGCAGAAGGGATGCAGAAGTGAGGTGGGGCCACAAACCCGGGTGCTGGGAACTGTTTTTTTGATCAAAATCCTTTCCTGCCTCTTTTCTTGGAAAAAAAACCAAAAAAAAAAGACAGAGCTTCTCCAAAAAAATGGTTTTCTTAAGTATAAAATATTTGATGTACCTTCTGTTTAACTTAAGAAGAACAGACACAATTTTATTTTAAGCGGAAAACAAAAGAAAAATAAAAAGTAAAAAACATACCTTGGGGGGTAAAGAAAGGATGGAGACAAGAAGGGAAAAAGGAGCTTTGGGCTGGGAGTGGGAGAATGAGAGGGAAAAAGGGAGCACGGAGGAAATGAAGAGGGAGATGGCAGGAGAGAAGCGCCCAGGGGCCCTGGAGCTGGACAGAGAGGAGTGGAGAGAGAAATCTGGGGAGACGGCCAGAGCCACTTCTGGAGGAAGGACAGGGCAGGAGCCGAGAGCAGCTCGGGGTTGGAGGGGGATCTGGGGCATTGTGACTATTGTCCCACGCATGGTGCTCACAAACTGTGGGATCCAGAGTCAGACCACCTGGGTTCAAGGGCTGCCTCTGTCACCTATTAGCCGTGTGACTTTGGTCAAGTCACTCAATTTCTGTGTGCCTCAGTTTCCCCACTTGCAGGATAATAAGTAATACACATACAAAAAAGTATCTGATGTATAGGACTTATTAATAAATGCCAGCTCGTTTGACTAACCACTCGGTCTGCAGACATGAGAGGGTTAGGAACACCAATTTGTTTAGCAACCATTTGCGTGCTCTTTGCAATGTTCCTCTGCTGATTGATTACCCTCAAAGTTCAAGGCCTCAAATCTATAAACCTTTTTATGAGATTACAAATCAGCTCACCAAGGGGTGGGGCTGCAGCTGCAGCAGCCGAGTCATGTGACCTCTGAGCCTGCTGACACCCCTTGTTTAAACCCATTCAAGCCCAGTCCTCTTAAGTCTTGACTGTAGCAGAACATCCCAGAAAGAGACCCACAACTGAGCCTAACAGGTGCTTGATCCATAGTAGGGCCTGATTTTAGGGCTGCCTCCTGGGTGGCCAATGTGAGCCTAATTGTGGGCCCCCAGAACCCGGGAACGGGTTTAATGTCCTCAAGACAGTGACGATCTGCATATGATCTTTCTTCTTTTACCTTTTTCTTGTCTCCCCATCATTTTAAAAACAAAGGAGGAGGAAGAGGGGGAAAGGACTTTTATTCCCTTGCAGAAAGATTGTTTTGCTCCTCATAGGAAAATGATGGAATGATGGGATTTCTTCCTGTTTCCATCCACAGCAAGTTTTCAACATGGTTATTCAGGGCTCTTGTTCCCCAGAATTGGTGGTGATGTCACCCTTGAGCAAATTTCTACATGGTTGGGAGATATTGCACATCAACCCTCACAATGGGCAGTGGCCATCGGGCCATCCTGAGGGTACCAAGCTGCCACTCCTCACACCCAGGCAGCCAGTGCTGACGGGCATCTCTACCCATGAAGGCGTCTGCTTGAGGTGGAATCGCTAATTGTTCAGACCACATAACTTATTGTCCCTACAGTTTCTCTCCTTGGTCTGCTTGCCTAGTCCAAAGATTTTTTTTCTTTATCCAAAAATGTAAAAGGAAGAAAACAAGGTGATCTTTTTAAAGACTAATACTAAGATTGCAGAGCCTCCTTGGAGTTATATAGTCCTACCCATGACCATGAAGACAGCCAAAGGAATTCATAGTGACATCCTCCCACCCTTATGTTAAAATCATATATCATACCATTCTGTTCCACCCACCTATCCATCCATCCATCCATCCATCCATCCA